TTACTACATAAGCAGTAGACTTGAGGTTTTGGGAAGGGGGGGGGAGAAGACGATGATGCTCACTTTATTGCCGCCTGCTTGAAGAGCAGTGACCTCTTCTGCAGTAAATTTAGCCATTGATACTGATTTTACTCTATGGTTAAACTCTCGTCTGTATTTCATGGACTTAGTCAGGAAAATAAAGGAATCGGAAACAAAACTAGAAAAAAGAAATTATCGGCAATTTGATAGATGTAAAAAAGAAAAGTAAAATGTAGAATAGTTCTTAATACGTACTGAATTCCGCTGCAGTTTGTGCAGACGAATGTCCAAAAGGTGGTGCAGACATATTGTGGTCCCTAATTCGTGCCAATCCAGGTACAGATAATTAAGGAATGTCTTATTGTGAAAGATATCAAATTTTTTTTGCGGGAGAATTGCTCAAAATTTAAATAAATAAACCAGAGAACTTCATACCAAACTATTGCAGTTGATACATCTCCGATTCTCAGGAAGTTTCGAGAGACTTCGGATTTCTCTTTCAATTCTATCATCTTCTTTCATCCGAGATCCCATCTTTGGAGGTTCAACAGCTTGAAATTATCGTCTACCAAGTGACCATTTAAAAAAAAAAAAAAAACTGTATTAAATGGATGATATGAGAGTCAGAGAATTTTCTTTATAATGCAAAGAGTTGAGAGGATTTAAATTTTGCAATCTACAACATATCATGCAGGTTCCCATTTAGAAGTCAACAAAGGCCCTTCAAGACTTGGGCATTGAATTGGCTGAAACAGGTCATCTTTTACGCAATCTTTTCTAACATTCTGTTCTTCTATTCCGGTTAAGATGACGGCAAAAATTCACCAATCTTAAGAAGGACAACTATAATTTTCCTTTTCTCGTTTTTATCTATTCTATCGATAATTTTCTCATTTACAAAGCCAGAGACGAGGAAAAGACTAATGGAAGACGAACCTGTTCGTTATAATTGACGATGAATATCGAGTTGCGCAGCCATTACAGGAGAAGGGGGAAAAAAAATAGCTGAGGATAAGAATTAGAAGGAATGTGAACGATAATGATGGAAAGAAGATCCTCGAGAAATGGGGTGGAGGGAAAGCTGCCGGCAATAACGGTAGCGCGTAATTTAATTACCGTTGAGCTGAACTGCGAGGGAGGCATCATTTCTTTCATGGGGTTTTTTCAAATGTAAGGGAAATTTGCTGTGGATTTTGCTCACAAAAAAATAATAATCTGCTAGTGGATTTTCACATTATTACGTCGTTGAAAATAATTAAATTGAAGCATATTATTTTTATTATTTATTTATTTTACTTGAATATTTTTCTAGAAATTTTAACGGGATTTCAAGACAGTATTTTCACGGGTTTTTAATTATCTAAATAGAATTTGAATCTTAGATTTTTACCCATGTCGAGAGAGCTGATTGATTTTTTTTTTTATCAACAGGGTTGGTTGATTTTACTGTAATTGAGGAAGTGCAATTGTAATTAAATTAATACATTTAAATTTAAATTTAATTTATTAAATTATCATATTGTAAAAATAATGCAACAATTAGTATTCATTATAACTTAATTACTATGGGTCCGTTATATTTCATGGAATTTGAAAAATATAATTCATAAATAATATAATTTATTAAAATTATTACATTATATGTAATATAGATACTTAAATAAAAAGTCAATATTTATTAATAATCATAAAAAAGAATTGAAATATATAATTGATACTAATGACCTTGTGGCCAAGTTGTATAAAAGTTTCATTATAAATGAGAGTTCGTAGATTCAATTAATTATAACTTAAAGTTGTTAGTGTATGCTCTTTTAAATTAAAAAAAATGACATAATTAATAAATAATAATCATTTATCATCACATTCTTTGAGATTATTTGATGCAAATTCATTAGCATTTATATTTGGAAAAGCATGTTTATCAATCATCATCATTAAATTCATTCTGACAGGGTAAAAAAAAAACCATCATCAAATTCAAACTTCATAATTACCCATATTTAGAGAGTTTGCAATATTCATATCTTCATTGATATCCGGATTCTCCAGTGAGCCGATGGTGCAAAGGCTGCTGATGGCTCATTTCTCATCTAATGGTCAATTGGTCATGAATATGAAAATGGATCGAATGGCAAAAATGGAAGGGTCAAACTAACCAAACTATTAAATATTAAGCCATCTTTTTTTTTTTTTAGCAGTTCTATAAGAGTGAGATTGATTCAGCTATTTTCTTTTTGAACCATGTCTTATACCATAGTTTCAAATTAAATCATGTGTTTTTATTTGTATTTTTAAAGATAGCTCGAGCTCAATTTTTGACCTCTCCTCCAACCTCTATCTCCAATTCTAGTGATATAGTCTTTAGCATCGAGATTGGAAGCTATGAATTACAAGCGTGTATGACATGCCTCTCCTCTAACTCTAGCAGTCTAGGCGTCTAGCCTTTGGATTCGAGATCCCAAGCACCATCAACAAATTAATATTTTATTTATATATTTGTGAATACAAATATTATTTTTTTTAATATTTAGGTCACTAGTTCGACTATTGATCTAACCCTTGAACTATAAAAATAGTTGTTGTTCACTGCAAGTGCATGAGTTGTAACAAGTAATATAAAAGTACAAATCATTTCTTGAGGATTTGTTTAAAAACAATGATTAACGCAAACTAAATGAGTTTAATTAGTTGAGCCAAACACAATTAGGTGAACATAATTTTACAAACTATTAACACTAGAAAATAAAAACCATGGATTTCACAGACTTTAAGCATAATTGAAATCTAAGATTATTATATCCCTTTATATTCATACCCCAAACCCAACCTCCTCTCCTAAATGTTTTTAATGAAAATAAGTGCTAACCTAGGGTTTATAAAATACTTAGACAAGCTCTCTTAAGTCATGAACAAATGTTTAGTTAAATTAATAGCCCAATCTTTTGTTACAATTAATAAAACTCATTTTTAGCTAGCTCCTACCCTAATGTGATAGAAAGCATATCTCTATTTTACTAGTACAATCATCCATTCAACATGAAAATATTAAGTCTTGCACTATTTTATCAAGTTCTACTCTCAACCTAGCCCTCTCAAGCATCAATAAAGTGAACCCACATCTAAATGGTGACTAATCACTTAGAAGCATTAAAAAAGAGTAAAATAAACACGCATATGTCACTAATTATAAAAGAGAGGAGGAACATGGTGTTAATTCATATAAGGGTTTTAAATAACCCTAAACAAAGTGTTTAGCTTCTCATAATCATCCAAAAGATACAAATAACACAAAATATTTGAACCCATATCAAAATGTAAGAGAAAAAGGGAAGAGGAACAGAAAATCGAAGAAAAGAGCTTCAAATATCTTTAAAACTCCATTATCTTGGACCCAACTCTTCCAATATACCCTAAACCCTAGCACGCAAGCGCCAAATGGTTGTTCAAAGTCTGAAGCATGCAGTCTAAGTTGAGCTCTTAGCATATGGTGTCCTACGTAACTAATTTTAGATAAATAAAATGCAGCGTTTTTCTGACAATGGCGAAAAATCGCGAAAGAAAGTTGCCACTTTCTGACGACTTTAACAGTTTTGAACTGTTTTCACAATTAATAAAATTTATCATTTTTACAATTGATTTTTCATCCAAAGCCTTTCAAAAGCATCAACAAAAGTCCATAAATGCATCTAATTAAATCTTAAATTAAAATACAACGAAATTAGGCAAAAAAATATTAAATTAAAGCTAAGAATACAAACCAAAATAAAAGGTACATTTGCCTAATTTGGTCAATCAAAATATATACAATTGAGCCAAAATGGATTAAAATTTAAGAAAAATATGATTAAATAATATGAAATTCTAGAGATTAACAATAGCGACCCGTTGCTTTTTTTAATTCAACATTCGGTGGGTTTTAAAACATTGCTTTAAAATGAAAAAAACAAGTTGCAAAATATGAAGTGAAAAAGATAAAAGAAGAACATAATGAAAAATAATAACTTTTCCTGATGTCATAGTTTACTTGTAGTTAGTTCTTGAGAGATGATTCGATGAAAGAGCATCATTTTTAGATGTAAGATATATCCTAAGCCAAATAAAGAATATTTAGTGTTTAACTAAATAATAAACTGTTATATGATTATTCTAAACCAACAACTGTGTACATATGCAGAGTTAGTAATATGAGTTGAACCTGCAAGCTTAACCCACCAACCAACCAAAAAAGATGGGTTGTGTTGAAGAAAATGAGTTCATTTTATGTAAGATGATTTTAACCCATCTCACATAGCTTAAACCTACAATGGTCTTTTTTTTTAAAAAAAAAAGGATAGAAATTGCAAAATTGCTCTCGTCAATTCTCAATTATTAATTTTTTAAATTAATAATCATAATAAATTGTTGTTTATAAATTTAATTGACAATAAATAAACAATAGATAAAATTGAAAAAAGGACTAATTATGGTAACTTCATCTTATATCAAAGCTTAAAAAAAAAAACTTTCAAATTTTGTCACAAGTTAGGGAACTGAGGAGTACACCAATATGAAAATGATTAAGAAGTTTAATTCAATTATTTTTATTAGGAAGAGTAATAACTAAATCCTAAACGGCAAATTAATTAATAACAATGTGGCCCGCCCAAAAATATTATGAAAAATACAGGTTGTAAACATTATATTTATTTCAATAATTAATTGTAAATATAAAACTTTTATTACAAATTATTAGAAGTAAGGGTATTTGAGTCTCCACCAATCGATCATTTTCTGTAATTTGCAATTTATTATATACTTTCAAAATGTTTTGGAAATAACTTCCATTAAATTAGTTTTTTAAAATTAGAAAAATTACATAAAAAAAACTTTTTATTAGTGAATCGACAGGTTGATATAAATACAATCCATACAGATGCAAGTTATGCCACTTGCTCACTAAGCCACCAGCTCTATACGCATGAGGTCGACAATGGGAATACAATTAAGGCATACCCACTTCATTTCAGAAGTCACAACCACCACACATTAAGGCTCATTAAGGAATATGAACCGAGGAAACTATACAAATAATTCTTTTTTGTTCTTTCAAGCCAAAATACAAATATTTTTTTTTTCCCTGTGTACCTCCGAGATCTTGGGATGGACCTATACACAGGATGAAAAGATGGAAGAATGAGTTTAGGGGATGATGTACTCATGTAACAATGTGTCAAACGAATGATGTGCTTACTATCACCTAATCTAGCATGAACACTAATTCCATTCAAAGTGGTGGCTATATTATTCTTTGATCAATTTCTCTTCACATATTAACATTTAAAACTCAGTTTTCGTCCCGAGAGGGAGGGGATGGAGCAGGAAGAGGAGCAGAAAATATCTGTACAAAAGTGGCAGCCAAATTTCCATAGCCTTGAGCAGATCAGTGCAACGGTTCTGCTTAACTGAGCAGCAAAAACTGGAAAAAACTCCTGTCACGAGATGAGAGCAACAAAATCTCCACTGCCTCACTCTCAGCACCTCCTAATCGAAGTTCACTACGAATATCCGGTTAATGACAAAAGGCCACCACCCTTGAAGCAAAAACCAGACCTACGTCTAGCAAAAACAGGCCGAATCCAGTACTTGCCTCTTTGCAACTCTGCCATAAATTGAAGGGGTCCATTAAGTGGTCTGCCCATCACCTTTAGAGTACTCAGAAGCCTTCATAGCTTCAGCTGTCATGAGAGCAACCACAGCCTTGTGAATTGCAAAATCTGCCCTATGGAGCAACCTTTGCGCCCTCTCCCTCTTTAACTTAGCCATGTTATGTGCATGCTGAGCCGCACCAGACGGGTCATGCAACCGAAACTCATCAAGATCAGAACCATCCAATTGTTCATTCTCATGGCTGTAAGGCCCATCCAATAGGCACTCCCTGTGGCTTGGCGAGTCATATAAACCATATTCCACCTATGAACTCCATTTCTCTTTCCTGACATTCTCTGGTTGAAAGAAGTCATCATCTGCGAATCATTATGATACATAAACGACCCAAATTTCTTTGACTTGCCATGGTGAAATTTGAGGACATCATTTCTATCAAATCCATCTCTGCTTGTTGCGTAACATGCCATGCTGCCAGCTCCCCTTGGTGAGAATACCCTTGGAGATGTCTGAGGCAATGGAGAATCATCCAAAGAATCATAGTTATAGCCAGGGTAAGCAAGCTTCTCATCGCCAAATGCAAAGCCATTCTGTCTTCTTCCTGACAGGCCAAAAGTCCGATATTAAAATAAATAAATAAAAAAAAAACTTTCATTAGCCACAGCACAGGAATAAGCAAGTTCATCAAATACTCACCAAAAGTATGAAAACTATCTTGATCCGCTAAAAAGCTGTGTGTATGCCCAGAGACTGAAAATTTCTTTTGTGATCGTTGTTTTAATCCCTTGTTCATAACTTCCAAGCCCCGTGGTTTCAAACAGAAAGCAAACATAGGTGGCTTCTCCAATGTTGCAGCTTTATCCAGGCAGCCATTAGGACTAGGCATATTGTTCTTGGTAATGGCTGCTTCCCACTCCTTCAATTGTTGTTGATACCTTTCCCACAAAGGAGGCTGAATGGACAACAGAAATTATGTCCCATATTTCAGGAAAATAACCACCGAATATGCAGATCATGATAATAAAATAATAGAAAAGAGTAAAATAGAATTTGCAAATTTTAGTTGAGAGGGAAAAAAAGGAATTTTGAGAACAAATAATTTTAACAATGCAAGAAAAAATAGCACAACAACAGAGGACAAGGAATCCTCCAAAATATGATTCAAGAGCTTCTGCTCATAAAATAATACCAATCCCATGACCCCTAAAGAAACCGCTTGCAAAACCCAAGGCCCAAAAACAACTCTTTCCCAACGAAAACTATGAATCTATGATGGCGAGAAACAGCACCCTTCCATGGGATTTCACGCTTCTTGCTGCAAAACCTCTAAACAGCTTAAAAACACATATCAGCTAACCAAATACTAATTAAGATGCCAGCAGTGTAAGTCATGCTTGGTATGGATGAAAAAAGTGTCAGCAAAGGGAGATGGAAAGTGAACTCCTTGTCTTGATATGCTTAGTAGACATTATTCAAGTTACTAAAGAATTGATGTTTCCCTCATACAAGAGCAGTAAGCTTTCTTTGCTTTAGCTAAGACAAGGTTCTTCCTACCAAATAACAAAAAATGTATCGCTAACTTTGCCCTCATTTATAGCAAAACATTTTTAAAAATAAGCACCACCTAAATAAATACTTAAACATCATTTCTCTTAAAATATTAGCCTTCTATGTTATATCGTGATAATGCCCATCATTTTGAAAACTCAATTTGGGCATTCTAATGAAAGGTATTCATGTCATTTAGTCACTTTGACTCCCCTTCCTTTCCTTTCTTAATTGCTTCATACCAAACTTCCAATGCAAAATAAAGAAAAGGAGAAAATTTATCAAACACATTTTGAGCCCAAAAATCACTTTACATGAAAGCCTCTGTCCCTCTCCATTTCCTTAAAAAATGGCTTCGTCCTACCAAACATAACCTTAGAGATATGCCACACAGTTCATGATGCAGAAATGATGACACCTGCAAAACCAACATGTATGATACACATACACACAATCACAGAGCACTTTTATTTCCAATTTTTGAAAGTTACTTTGACGATTTTCTCTCTGTTTTTTAAAAATCTGATGCAAGACAGTCGTGTAAGGATGTTTGACAGGGTGCTTTAAGGAAAATAATGCTCAGGTTTAAATCAATATCAGTCTGCATATTTTAATCTGAGGTAGCATCAATTCCTCATAATGAATATGCCCTTTTTTATATTAATTTTAGAGTTAGGATTGCCAAAACTAAAGGATAAGTCATTTCCACTACCACAGATTTTCAATAGATTAGTGAATTTTGCATCATGCATTCATTTGTGCTGGAGGATGGGACAATGATGTAAAAGGCGCTCTAAGGCACCTGGGCGAGGCGCTGAACTTGGCCATCGCCTCTCAAGTGAAGAGAGGCAATGGGTTTCATCAGGCGCTTGCCTTTGAGCGCCTTGTACGCCTCGCATATCCTAAAGGCGCGCGACTGACAGCGCCTGGAAGCAGTGAAGATGAGAAGATCAGAAGAGAAGACAAAGACGTAAGATTTAGAAGAGAAGACGATAAAGGAAGATGAAGGAGTGAAGAATGCTGACTGGGTGTGAAAGAACCGAAAAGAAGAGTAGGAGTTGGTTTTTGTTCGGCTGCCGGTGTCGACTAGGTATGCAAGAATCAGAGACGAGAACTCGTCTGCACTCCACCGACTGGGTATGCAAGAATCAGAGACGAGAACTCATCTGCACTCCACTGACTGGGTACGACCGTATCGTGCGAGTATGCTAGCTGGCCATAAGTTCAGCATCGTGGACTGAATATCATCCATTAAAATATAATTTTTTTTAACCAAAATCCATTAAAATATGATAAAAAAATATAGTAAATAATTATAAAAAATGTAACAAATCCTATCTTGTGAGAGAAACGTATAACATATAATAAATTAAGGAAGATTTGAATTTTAAATAAAAGATAATGAAAAATATATATATAGAAAAAGATTTTAATTAATTATAAGAAATTATCTTTGATTTAAATTTTAAATATGATTGAGACAATTATAAAAGATTTAACAAATCCTATCCTATCTTGTGGGAGAAACATATAACATATAATAAATTAGGGAAGATTTGAATTTTAAATAAAAGATAATGAAAAATATTATATATAGAAAAGATTTTAATTAATTATAAGAATTATCTTTGATTTAAATTTTAAATATGATTGAGAAAATTTTGCTATCTGAAGGAAAATTTTTAGGAAAGTTTAAGACTTTAAAATCCCTCCCAATGTATATTTTTTAAGATATAAAAAGAAAACCTATTACTGTTCTTTGGTATTGGCATCAGTGTGTCTCGAGGCTTAGAGCAAGTGAGCAATATCTCCAAGGATCACGTCTTGCACATCTTGCACATCTTGCACTCTAACAATCAGGTTCTAACTTCTAAGTTTCAAACATCATATTATTTTCTATTTTTCTTATTTGATTTGTTTGATTTTAGGCCTTTAGCACTACAACACACAGAACAATTATTCAAAAACAAACCTTTAATTTTTCATTCTCTTTTTTGGTTTTTCCTGGTATTTTTCCCCAGTTTTTAGTGCTTCCATGACTGAAAGTAGTGGTCAAGGTCAAAACAAGCAACAAGAACAGAATAAGAGAAAAGACCCTGGATGGAAATATAATTTCTTGAGTGACCCAAATGACACCAATACTGTAACTTGTTCCTTTTGTAACAAATATACAAAAGGAGGGATTCATAGGGCTAAGTTGCATCAAGTTGGAGGTAATAGGAATGCTGCTAAATGTTTGAAGTGTCCTGATAATGTGAGGAAGGAGTTGCAAGATTACATGGACAAAAAAAAGGTAGAAAAAGAGACATATGATAATCCAATTATAAATGTTGTGGATATAAGTATGCATGGTGAAGAAGAGGAGAGGAGGAGGAGTTGTATGGAAAGAAAGGAAAAAATGTTATGCTTACATCAAAGAAGCCTAGACAAAAAGGTCCCATGAATTCTTTTATGAGGAAACCAGAGCAAGTTATTCAATTACGAAAACAAGGAAAGTTGCGAGATGGAAATATAACTGATAAATTTGATAAGGAGAGAAGAGCTATGGTTTGTCAATACAACAACAACAACAACAACAAGCCTTTATCCCACTAGGTGGGGTCGGCTACATGGATTGCAAGACGCCATTGTGCTCTATCATTTATTAAGCTTTTAGAAATATTATTAATTAAGAGATCACGTTCAACAACTTCCAAGAGTGTTCTCTTAAGCCTTCCTCTACCTCTCTTAATCGGACTCAAAGTTATATGTTCCACTCTTCTCACTGGTGCCTCCCTTGGTCTTCTTTGTACATGCCCAAACCATCTCAACCGATTTTCTACCATTTTTTTCCTCAATAGGTGCCACCCTCACTTTTTCACGTATGTGCTCATTTCGAATTTTATCTTTACGTGTATGTCCGCACATCCATCGTAACATTCTCATCTCTGCTACTCCAACTTTATGCTCTTGCTGTCCCGTTAGAGCCCAGCATTCACTACTATATAAACATTGCCGGTCTGATAGCAGTACGATAAACTTTCCTTTAAGTTTATTAGGCACCTTACGGTCACAAATAACTCCTTTAGCTTTTCTCCAATTAAACCACCCAGCTTGAATTCTATGTGAAATATCTCCACTGATTTCGCCATCATTTTGGATAATGGCTCCCAAATATCTAAACTTTTCCACTTGAGGTATTATGGTTTGTCAATACATTGGTCGATTTTTCTACCAAGCTGGCATTCCATTTAATGTTGCTAACATGGATTCCTTTAAAATTATGATTGAAGCTATTGGACAATATGGTCCAAATCTAAAACCCCCAAGTTACTATGAGTTGAGGGTGCCAATTTTGAAGAAAGAAGTTGAACTTACAAATGATATGATGAAAAATCATAGAGATATGTGGAAAAGAAAAGGCTGTTCCATTATGCTTGATGGGTGGACTAGCCGAACAAATAGAAGCTTGGTAAATTTTTTAGTGAATTGCCCAGTTGGCACAATGTTTATAAAATCTGTTGATGCATCATCATATGTTAAAACAGCAGAAAGATTATTCAATTTGATTGATGATTTTGTTGAACACATTGGGGAAGAGAATATTGTTCAAATAGTGACGAATAATGGGTCTAACTTTAAAGCTGCTGGTAAATTATTAGAAATGAAAAGGTTGAATCTTTTTTGGACACCATGTGCAGCACATTGTGTAGATCTTATATTAGAAGACATTGGAAAAATTTCTAGGGTATCAAAGACTTTGGCAAGAGCAATCAATTTGACAAGGTATATATATAACCACGTAGGACTTCTAAATATGATGAGAGAGTTCACTAAACAAAAGGAGTTGGTGAGGCCTGGCAAAACTAGATTCTGCACTTCATATCTTACTCTTAAAAACATTCATCAACAGAAAACTGCATTGAGGACTATGTTTACTTCAGAGAAGTGGGAATCAAGTAAGTGGTCAAGAGAACCTAAAGGAAAGCGTGTGGTTGAAAGTGTGCTTATGCCTTCTTTTTGGAATACTGTTTCTTATATATTAAAAGTTATGGGACCTCTTGTTCGAGTGCTAAGACTTGTAGATAATGAAAAAAAACCAGCCATGGGTTATATATATGAAGCAATGGATAGAGCCAAGGAGGCAATTCAAAAGGCATTTGATAATAATGAAGATAAGTATAGAGAGATTTTTCACATTATTGATGAAAGGTGGAATTGCCAACTTCATCAACCTCTACATGCTGCAGCTCATCTCCTAAATCCAAAATATTATTATGACAACCCAGGTATAGAGTTTGATGAAGAAATCACTAGGGGCCTAATATCTTGCATAGGGAGACTTGTGAAAGACCCAACCGCCCAAGAGAAGATCATGAATGAATTGACAATATATAAAAGAACAGAGGGACTTTTTGGGGTTGATTTGGCCATTAGAACAAGGAAAACAAGAGCTCCAGGTAGATTATAATCACACATTAGTTATTTAATAGTCCTAGTTTTACTAATTTAGTTAAATAATTATGTATTATTTTTATGACTTTGTAGCGGAATGGTGGGCTTCTTATGGAAGCTCTAGCCCTAATTTACAACATTTGGCAATCAGAATACTAAGCCTTACTTGTAGTGCATCAGGCTGTGAACGTAATTGGAGTGTGTTTGAGCAAGTTAAATTTAAATATTTCAATTTTTTAAAATAGGTCAATGTTATGTTTTATCATATCTTCACTTCATATTAAGATAATTAATTATTATATATGATTTTTCCACTTAGATTCATACAAAAAAGCGGAACAAGCTTGCTCAAGATAGACTCAATGATTTGGTCTTTGTGAAATACAATCAAGCACTGAAAAATAGATATGATAGGCAAGATGTAGATCCCATTTCCTTGGCGGATATTGATGAAAGTAATGAATGGCTACTTGGTAGTATGATGGATGTCGATGAGGACGCAGCAGATGAGCGTGTTTTTGGTGATGATGAGAATGAAGAGTTAACATGGGGGGCTGTTGCATCAGCAACAGGGGTTGGAGAACCAATTAAACAAACAAGAAGCCAAAGCCAAACTAAAGGAAAAAAAGCTAGCTCATCTAGAGCCAAAGGAAAACAACCGATTACCAACATTGAGGAACTTGCAAATTTTGATTCAGATGAGTTAGAGGAAGACGATGAAGGATATAAATCCAACAATGAAGGAGGAGAAAGTCCTGAGCTTGCCGCATCTGAATCTGATTCAGATTTCTAGTTTGATTTTTTTATAGGCCTCAATATTGTTTTTTCATATTTTAAAGACATTTTATGCACTTGATTGATTATTGGAATAGTTTATATTATTTTGTTGTAATTTTGTAGAAGTTTATGATTGAAGTAGATTTATATTTATCACTTTATCTATGGTTTGTTATCTATAATCTATGTATTATGCATTTTATCTATAGTAGCACCTTGCTTCACTCAGGCGTGCGCCTTTGTAGCGCCTTGCGCCTAACGCGTTTTACTAACTTTGCGCCTTGAGTGCGCCTTTCGCCTTTAACAACACTGGGATGGGAATATGTTCCTTGTCCCCAAAACACAATGGCAAAGCAGCAATGAGTTTCAAGAACAAGCTATAGTTAATTAAGATTGGAAATCACGTTTAAAAAGACAGTGTTTTGAAGAATTGCATAGCGGTCAGTAAGTATACAGTAATATAAATTGCTTTCACATCGAAGCCAGAAGAAATTATAGAATCTACTGTCCTGAAAAAATAGACTTTGAAAAAAAAAAAAAAAACCATCTCTTAAGATGCTAAACTCAGCAATAGCTTGAACAATTGAACTTAGGTTTGAAAGGGCCATAAAACATTAATGAATTAAGTAACAAAGCCAAGCATCAATCAAGTGCATAATGACAACATCTGTTCCATCTCTCTCCTTCAAATTCCATTCATCTTTGCAAGCAAAGCATGTCACATCATGTGGGATATTCCTAAAATTTAAATTAAAATGCCAGCAACTGAATAATAAGGAAAGCTTAGACAGTACCTGGAAATTTCGAATTAAAGCCATTCCCTTTTTCTTCCTTCTCTGCTGCCAATGCTCATAGATGGCATGGACAACACACAAGGGCCTAATATCAGGCATGAGTTCCTCTATTTCATTTGGAGCAAATTCAACACGTTGCTGAGCAAATGCAGCCTTTTCAAACATGTCCATTATCTTCTCAAAAATTTCATCAGATAAACCTTCACATTCATTGCAGTCTTTTTTGGAATTTTGAATGCCAAAAAGCCAGTTCTCATCCTCACTATCCATTTCATACAAGACACGTAATGGATCCAAAGCCATCTCAACATCTGTTTCAACCTGATGGAAATACTTGGAACTACGAACAAATGCAACTTCAGTTCCATTTTCATCATTCTCTTTTATAGAGCGAACGCCAGGAATGGGTATATTTTTTACTGAAGCAGCACGGATATTCCGATTATAGCATTCCTGATGCATCTCCTTGAAAAGAGCCCATTGACTTCTATCAGTAAATTCCAATACCCAATCCTTACCTCCTTTCCACATCATAGCATGTGTGTAACGATTTGTTGATCCAGGCTGAAGAAACTGATGGGCTTTATATGAATACCTTGTAATCCCAGAAAGTTTTACAGAAAGTTTCCACTCATTATGATCAAAAAGCTCTAACACAACCTGTGCACCAGATTCTCTCCACCCCTTCTCACCAAGGGTAATCAACACATTTGCATTACAATATAAAGAATCAAAATTCTTTTCAAGGCCTCCAGAAACATCAGATAACTTCTTCTCATTGGCTTTTCTAATTCGTTTGTGAGGAACCCCTTTCTCATTTTGGCTTTTGCACCTTGAACTAAAATCATACCCATGAAAAGGCAAAGAATACGATACTTGTGTTCTAGGCTTTTTGGGTCCGTTACTAAAACCATTGTGAAGAGTGTCAGCCTTTCCGTCTGACCCCCCATGAGATGGTAACCCAAATGATGACGAGCTATTTCTGTTCCTATGCCAAGAACTTCTGGGTGCAGTTGGATTAGGGCTTTGCATGAAACCTCCATTTATATTCCAAGACAAATCAGAAGAGTGCTGAGCATTATGCAAATCACACTCCACAGATTTATCACTATGGTCAATTGAAGATATATGGATACTAAGATCACCCGCAAAAGAATGGGATACATCTCCAACCTTCTCCTCACCAATTAAAGAACTTGAGGGTAAAGGGTAATGTTCTGCCCTCAAACTATGGGATTTCTCCTCTGATAACTGAATAGTACTAAGCCTCCCAGAACCATAAGAGTTAGAAGTTCCAGAGCTACTAAGAGCAATGTTCTGACTATTTTGAGGAAGAACTCCATCACTGCAAACAGAAGAACTAATTACCAACTTGGGTTCAGCAAAAGAGTCACCTTTTGACAAAACCATCATATTCTGCTTCAGATTAATTTCAGATTTCTTGTTAGAGCAATCATCAAGGCCAGAGCAGCCATCCGTCATGAGACCAGAGCTTTCTTGATCAGTTAGTGGAATGTGATCACAAAAGCTTACATGAGCTACAGATCGCTCCATCAGGAGCTTAAGGTGCAAACTAAGAAAAAATGTAGGCACAGCAGTGAAAGAAAGAGCGAATGGAGGAAGCTTCTGATTGGCAGTATCAAAACAGTGATTAGTACGGACCTTGGTGGACTCTTTAGAAATACCCATAATATTAATGCCTTGCCTAGTTCTCTTCTGCATGACCTATACAAAAAGTTATAAAAGTTGATCCAGCATCAAGAAGGATAATAAAATATACAACATAGGTGAACTTGCATTAACTTACAAAAGATTTGATGCAATTTCAAGAAAAATTAAATAGAGAAAGAGACAAAGTTGCATTATTTATCTTTATAAACTAGATACAAAGATACAAAGAATATGTCAATAACTATTCTGGTTAAATTCTTAACAGAGAAGGGGCACAATACAAGGAAGTACCTTAAATGATGAGGACTTGCCAGTAGAAGTAAAAGAGAACTGGCTTGATCCATTTTGAAGAGCCTGAACATTATCATATGTGCATTCAGAGATATGGAGCTGCTTACTGAGCAGGCAACGACTCTTGAGTTTTGAATCTAGGTACATCCATTTCGAATTCTTCACTCTGGAGAAGTTATAAAATGCAAACACAAGCTGCTTCTTTAAGTCATATAAACATGAAAACTTGAATCTTATAGATGTAACTGGCAACTGCAGGTCAAAATACATCCCTTGGTCAGCAGGTTGACGAAATGCCCTAAGGACTAGAAAGATAAATGATGCGGCCATCTTCAAGCAACCTTCAAATAACAGAAATCTCAACCCAACCACATTATCCACAAAAAGCATCTCCAAATGAACTCTTGGCCACTTCATCATCAGTGTACCACATTGAAGCAGCAGTGTAGAATGAAGTAACTGCAAATTCTGCAATTCAAATGAGCTGTTTATCACCAAATGCACTGGAAAGTCCAAGTCAAATTTGAATGCTGCTGACTCCATGTCACGGAAACATATTTTCAATACCCCTGCATTGTTAGTGGACCACAAAGGCCCATCAATCTCAAAGCTCCTAGTGTCTGGTTCTTTTACTTCCCCACCCCTGCCAAAAACATGGTTAAAGAAACTGGAACCAGATGCACTTACTGTTACACGTTTCTCTTCAGACACAGGAGATAATGGAGTTGACCTGCGAAACCGCCTTCTAAAGTATACAATAGGTGTCTTGCCATCTTTAGGGCAAGCAGCCCTTGGCAATGAGGAATTCTCACTATACCGATTACCTAATTTATCTTGCAATAGGGAACTGCTGGAAGGTTTACATTCATCATCTATCCAGGATCTCTTAGCTAAACCTCCCTGTAGTCCAGCAGGTTCCTCATAAAAGGTTGAGGCTGAATTCAAAACTGTAGCAGAAGTTCTCTGTTTCTTATTGCCATGGAAAGAGGATTTAACTCGACAAGAAGTTCGAGCCAGCCAAGAAATTATAGGCTCAGAATCCATACAGTTTTCATCACAGCTATCATTCTTTGTAATCAGTTCCCTCCGTCTTTCTTGTCTGGACTTGCTTCGCCTTTGCTCATCAGATCTTTTGCTTCCCATTACAGCTCTTTTTCTCATGAACTTTCTTGGAACTTCACTGGGAAATAACAGGAGTTTGAACCTCTCAGTTTGGAGATCAATCCATTCTTCATCACGATCATCATATTTGATATGGTGAAGCATTTTTTCTTTGTCATAATCATTGATAAGTCCATAATACCAACTCTGGTCTAGAGGCCAAAAAACCTTGATTCTCCGATTCAAAACCCAATATGCATCTAAACCACCCAAGAAAATTTCATAAAAGTGGCGCCTCTTCCTGGAGTTACCTCCCTCTTTGTGTTGATTCCTTGGCCTCAAGACCCTTGAAGCAGCATCAACAGATGCAAATTCAGCACCTGATAAAGACTTCAACCCATGACAAACATGATTTCGACCAGAAGATAGCAAGAAGGGCAAACCATTTGCTGCAGGTAAAGTGGAAGACTTACTACCAGAGGAAAACCCTGTACAACTGGGATCAAATCTTGAAGATAGCATCCTTGCAGCATTCTCCTCAAGATTCTCCTCCTCATCTTCTAGTATTTTGTCAGATATTTTACTACTATTGATTGAAGCATCAGCCTGCTTGGAAGAACTCGTATTATCAAGAAGTAAAACATCTTGCTCCCTCCTGGACTTCTTCAAAGAATCATCATCATTATTTACAACAGAACAACAGGCAGGGCCTTCGTTCTCCTTGAAATGCTTAACCAAATTCAAATCACTTCTATTTTCCTTAGATTCATCAAAATCTCTCTTCTTTCTAACAGATGGTGATTCAGTCCTATCCAAATCATCAGCACTTAGATTAGTCATATGATCAACATGACCACTTTTACAATCATTCTGCCCTACCAGAATCGGTCTTTGACCACCTGCAAATTTCTTCCTCCCCACAAAATCCCTTTTTCGCTTCGGAATATGAACAGCACCATTGTCTAGAATAAGTGATACTCTATTTAAATCACTACTGCCACACAATCTCTGACTCAGCCCCAACTTCAGTTCATGCAAATCCTGTTCACCAGAACATGGCTCAACTTGACATTCTTCATCAACAATCCTTTTGCCGCCACTATCAGCATTTTCTAAGCTCCTCAAAGACACTTCCTTCCTAGATTTCCTCTTCTTGCTCCTCTTCTCATCATCAACCCTGGGAGCGATACTGTTCCTCTTAAAATTCTTGTTTAGAGTCTCCTTCGTCTCTTTTGATTTATATAAACTTTTAAGATCCAAAGTTCTCGATTTTTTGGGAATCAGTGTCCCATAGGAATTCTCTGATCTATCTTCCATCAACAATCCCCAGAAGAGACGCCCGGGCAAAAAATTCCCAAATTTCACATTCCATCACACATGCCTTTTCACGTTCTTCAGATCTGTTGCACCAGACCGACGAAAATAAATCATTCCTCGACCAGCCCAAAAACTAAGACCATGCCAATCTCCCCTGTATTAGGCGAATTCCATTTCACAGTACCAGAAAAATTAACCCCGAAACAAGAGCACTTCGAATACTTACCGCAAATGATTCACCAAGAAATATTCGATTCATCCAACAGAACATGGAGATCACGAAGAAGAATCATGGGATGAATGTTCAACTCTCACCTACGCCATTTGAAACCCTAACAAAATCCCCGATTTTGGAACAAATTTTCCAGATAATTCGATTTCTCTAATTTTTTTCTACCAAAAAAAAAAAATTCACAATTGTCCGTCTAGGGTTTCTTCAATTTCTCGAGAAAAGGCTTAAATCGGAAATAACCAAAAAATAATAACTCGAAATAATACACTCCGAACACACACACACACACACACACACGAGCGTTTTATTCGAAATGGGCACGTGGCAGAATACCGTTTGTTGGATTGAAATACAATGGTTGCGTCCTTTGCGGTAGAATCAACGAGTTCTTCGCGAGCGGACGGCGGAGATGTGAATGGCCAGGATTGAACCCTTTGCGCCCTTAGTGTTGATTATTGGCTCCAGGCTTCTATCCAATAAAAATGAAAAAATGTCTTATTAATTAAAACAGATTTTTAAACGAAATGGGGGTAGAGGCGACAATGTGAATGATGGTTAATCTCATAATGATATGTAAATACTTCTCTAAATGTTAGACACTCTCAAGATTCAGTCCATTTAAATTTATATTTTACTACTAGAGAGAAAATAAAAGGAAAGATATCAATCAAAGATCACTAAAAAAAAATTATATCAGTCAATGATCATTTATTGTCAAAATTCAAATAGATATATGTTGATTTAGGTTATTCTTTTTATAATAAATATTCATTTAAGTTTTAGCAACATCTTATTTTAAATTAATAATAGTCCATTCGAGTTTATTTTTCATTTGAACTTTAATGATAACTAGTCCTTCAATAATATAAAGTTTATTCAACGATCCTTGATTGCTATTTTTCAAAAATAAAATGGAACCCCTATCACTATTTTTTCCTATCGTTGGGGCCTTTTTTGGTATGAGTAAATAGGTGCTGATGAAGTGAGAGTAGACAAAGAAATGCTCATTTTAAATATTTTATGTATAGGAATGGCCCATTACCTTATTTGAGGTAATGAGCATTTCTTTCAGGGATCATGGGAATGGTTCCATTTCCTTAGAAATGAATATTTTTGGACTAAAATACCTCTAATTAATAATTTTATAAGCATAAGTGCCCCTTCTATTTTTGTCTTAATTTTACCCCACCTATTTTTGTTTCCCTCCATTCACTTGAAATTCTCCATTACCATCCTTCTTCTCCATCATCAATCTGTATTTGATTTTGGTTTGAGTTCAACTTCATCAATTACAAATCTGATCTTGGTTCAAGATCGAATCTCCCACTCCACCTTCATTAAACAAGAGGATGAAAGGATGAAAGCATGTGAAGAAGAAATGGGTAAACATATCTGGGTTGTTCAAAATGAGAACAAAGGTATTCCAGCATTTTATCATTATAAATTTATAATCACATATATTAAGTAAAAATTACTCAACCATTCCATCAAAATACCAAACATGTTTTTAAAGCTTATTCTCATTTATTATCTTATTCCTTTTCCTATTTTGCTGGCTATTCCTATTCCATCAAAAATCATTCCATTATACCAAATAAAGCCTGACAGTTGATGGCACGAGATCAATCATGTAGAATTTTTTTTAGATAAACCTAGAGTACCATGTAATTAATGAATTAGCCAATTAAAATGCACCATTTTAGATCCATTTAATCTTGTATGACACACTGTCACTCTCCAATTTACTTCCTTAATTTTAAATCCTTTTAGTTAATGCTCCATTGTAAAAAAAATTCTTTCTATTATTTTTTAATACTCTCTCTCTCTCTCATCCCCACTACATAATCAATTTCCATGATTTACCAATTCTTTTTTCTGAACCATCACAAAGATTCATGTGCTTTTCCAAATCTAGATGAACCCAAAAAATATTTTTCCTATTAACGAATTTAAAATCTCATTTTTACATTTTTTCTAAACTTTTTCCTATAAACAAAACTAAAGTGTTTTCTTAGAAATAGAACTAAAATATTTTTTTGTATCTTCTCACATTATTATTAATTTTATGGATTGACGCACCCTATCCTCATCCCCTCAATTATTAGTAAAGAGAATCATTCTCACACATCTCCCTCTCCCTTATACTACTTCCATTAATCATTTTGTATGACTCATGACCTCTTTTATTTGTTTAATTTTAGTTCATGAAATTATAGACAATAGAGGTGGGCAAAAGATTGGAAATATAGAAAAAGGTTGCAACATCATAAAAACTTATCAGAGTTAATTAAATTAATTAAGAGTAACATGATAAGTTTAGTGCTAACTCAAGTAAAATATGTCGTACAGATAAATATTGGCTTTATTAGGCCCTAATAGAAACTTAGAATTGTTCTTTAAGTAGTGTTACGTCACATTATGCCTAAATTAATGGACTAGATTAGGGTTGTCTACCTCCATGTCATCTGCTGTGGTGAATGTTTCGTATTTGAACTTCCATATTCACCTTTCAAACAAAAAAAATGGAGAGAGTGAGTAAGAGTCTGAGGGAGTTTAGTTAGAGCTATGCTAAGGTAACAATTGGAGGCTATTTGAAGCCTAAACACCTTGGATTGACCCTAAGTTTGTGCATTTGAGCCCATTAGATGCTCAATTAACTATATATGAGTGCTTTTCATTTGGTAAAGCCAAGAGTTAAGGTGAAGATTCAACTAAGGGCAAAAGGGAGGCCTTGAAGGCTAGAGACTAAGCGATTTACTATAATGTCTCTAGATAATTATGTGTACTCGAAACATATTGCTAATTAGGGGTCTATTAGTGTTATTTTGATAATAGATTATTTCTACTTGCATTTTGTAGCCTTAAATGTTGACTTTGACATTTTAATTGATCTTAGCCTTAACAGGGTTCAATTCCCTAGCCTGCATCTTGCGTGGGCCAAGATGGTTATGCAAGTGTATGTTATTATGTTAAACTTGTTCAAAATGTCAACATTTGATAAGGTTATGATTTGAGAAACTTCACAATCTCTGCCTATTTATGTTTTTAGGCATTAGGTGGTCAAATTTGATAATATTTAGACTTTAATGTATGTGATTGATTGAATGTGTATATTATGTGCTATTGAGTGTGGTTCAAAGCCAAAGAGGGCTAGTGGCTTGTGGTTTGGAATTTAGGCTTCCAATTGAGTTTTGAAAGTGTAAAAGTGGTAAATTAGCATCCAATATCCTAAATCTCTATATGATTTAAATTGTTGTAAAACTAAGGCTACTAGCTAGATTATAAAATTATTTAAGTATGGGCGCTTGAATCACCTTAATTAGAGATTTGAGTGAAAAATTGTGTGCGCTAAAAGTTGGAATTGGAATGTTGTCCTAATAGTATTGCTGTCAAACAATGTGCATCATGATAATTGCACATTAGTTGTGATGCACAACATAGTGAAGGTTGGGCACAATGCATGGTGGTTTAGCTATGATAAAATCTCTTTATACCACATGCCACGATGCATGTGTGTAACATTCTAAATACTTGCCTTTTGAGTTAGTTAAGTTAATAACATTTTAAGAGAGTTTAAAGATATTTATATATATTGAAAAATGATTTTATAATCAATTAGGGCCTAAAAGAAGATAAAAAAATAAAGTGATCTACCTCTGCAATAAAAAAATTTTAAAGGGTAAATGATAATATTTTTAAGTAATTCTTTTTACATTAGAAAATAGATACCTCAGGCTTTCTATAGAATTCTAATTCACAATTTTTTAAAATGTGTGAAACTAGTTATGAATTTTTGAAATTAGGTTAATGAAATTATGTTGTTAGCCGTGGCGAACGACACATTTTCATACCTAAATTTTCTATCACGAAACATAACAACAAAGATGAGTTTTGAGTGGGTTGGGGCAATATTTAAAGAGCTTCGCTAGGGTGTTATAAAGGGTATGCATTGAGCACGCTTTTGGGCCTCTAATCACTAAGGTAACCTTCCATAATCCCTTTACTATCTTCTAAACTCCTATTTAATCTAGTTTATGTAGATATTATGTTAGGGTTTCATTTTTTAGGATGCCTAACCCTTGGTTTGAATTATAAGGCTTGTTTGAAGTTAAATAACTATTATTTAGGTTGTTTTGATAATATTTATTATAAAGGGGTGCTTAAATCTGAAAATCTAAAGTTGTTTGGGATTAGATTAAGCTAATAAGGTTAGCTAATAATGTTTTTTAAGTTTAATGAAGGTTAAAGAAGTTATTGGAAGTATGTTTTGGGGTTATTTTTGCTTATTCAAGCTTAATAAGGGTTTGAGGCCTTGACTATGATTAAGGTTAATTAAGAATGATTAGTTATCAATGTTGTCTGTTAATTATTGTAGATTGAATGCTTTAGAGCTCTTTAGGTTTGTTATGAGCTCCTTTAGAATCTAAATTATATTCTTGGGCTGGTAAACTAAGGGTGGAGGTAACCAAGAGTTAAATTCTCATAGATAATTACTATTTGCAATTATGAGTGGTATGTTAATGATTGTAATGAAAATGATGATGTGGATATGCAAGCATGTGGTTAATGATTATTGAGCATTATGTGATGTGTAGTTATGAGTTTGTTTATTAATGAAATATAATGATTGATTTTGTTTGGGTTGTATAGTTATTAAGTATAACATCTTGAAAAACTAATTAGGATTAAGTTAAGAAAAAGGAAGTAATTGAGTTAATTATTGAGGTGTGTAGTCAAAGAGGTCTAATTAATACGATTGATTGTGATTTCAATCTTAAAAATGGGTCTGAAGTGAAGTCAGGTTACCTAGATATGAAAAAGGGAGAAAATCTGAAGGAAGTGATTTTGTGCCACACGCCGTGGCATATGGCTCATTCGCCGTAGTACATGTATAGTAATCAACCTAGGGACAAGCCTCTTTATGCTATATGCCATGGTACATGATGCATCCGCCGTAGCGCATAGCCAACTATTCTAATAAAGAGCACATAAATCAAAAAAAAAAATCAAAAGGAGAGGAAGAAGAAAATGAAAGGGGTGAAATTTCTTTGCTAGGGTTTGCTTCTTTGGAGCTTTGAAAGTATCTTAAAGTTAAATAACACATAAGGTAAGTTTTCTAAGCTTATTTCTTCCCTTTCTCTTCCATTTTTTCTAGTTGGGAAATTAAGGTTTGAATTATAATGATGATTTTTGGTCCATAGAAGCTGTGGCTCCA